ACCTGCTGTCTCTTTCTTCCCTGGCTCGTGGAGGAGGCCTTGTACTGAAATTTGGGATTGAAAGATGCAAGCAGCCTGGCTCATGGTGGCACCACCTGCTTGAGGAGAGCTGAGGTGATTGAGGAGGGTTGCCCAGGAATGAGCAGACAAGAATGGAGCTGACTTGTCACTGAGATGATGGGGCTGTTTCTTACTGTGGCATCCCTTGTTAGTGCTGGCTGACAGAGCAGCTGCCCCAAGCAGGGCTCAGAGAGCACGCTCAGATGAATGGAGACCCCAGGTGGCCTGCAGTCCGTTCATCAGTTAGATGGCCAGGGCGGCCTTGAACACCAATGGACAGGGGCCGCCACTGGCCTCTGGACTTATTTGCAACCATGGGGAAACTGAACAGGCCTCTTACATAGTCACTTCTGTCCTGCCAGGGTCTACTATGCGTGGAAGACGTGTGGTTTTATGTAGACGCCATATCTCAGTTCTATCTGATGTGATTACGAGGACCTCTCAAGTGGCTCATCCCAGGTTGGGAGAGTCTTCTCCCGGGTGGAGGGAGAGCCACGCGACCGTTCTGTGTGAGAGCAGAACGCATGAGTGCTGGTGCAAGCCCTGCTGTCTCTTTCTTCCCTGGCTCGTGGAGGAGGCCTTGTACTGAAATTCGGGATTGAAAGATGCAAGCAGCCTGGCTTGTGGTGGCACCACCTGCTTGAGGAGAGCTGAGGTGATTGAGGAGGGTTGCCCAGGAATGAGCAGACAAGAATGGAGCTGACTTGTCACTGAGATGCTGGGGCTGTTTCTTACTGTGGCATCCCTTGTTTGTGCTGACTGACAGAGCAGCTGCCCCAAGCAGGGCTCAGAGAGCATGCTCAGATGAATGGAGGTCCCAGGTGGCCTGCAGTCCGTTCATCAGTTAGATGGCCGCGGTGGCCTTGAACACCAATGGGCAGGTGCCACCACTGGCCTCTAGACTTATTTGCAACCATGGGGAAACTGAACTGGCCTCTTACATAGTCACTTCTGCCCTGCCAGGGTCTACTATGCATGGAAGACGTGTGGTTTTATGTAGACGCCATATCTCAGTTCTATCTGATGTGATTACGAGGACCTCTCAAGTGGCTCATCCCAGGTTGGGAGAGGCCTTTGTGGCGAAGCCCGATGAGGCCCCTTGCTAGTGTCAGGGTGGAGGTGGCTGCTGTGTGATCTGAGTGAGCTCCTGGAGAGTGATGTCGGCCTTGCTTTTGGTCAAGAAGAGAGACCAGCTGGGCCAACAAGCACCTCCGGTCCTCACCCCTCCATCTGTACACGACTTTTCACGCCCCAGTGGTACACTACTGTACCACTACAGAAGAACCAGCTTCCTCCAAGAGGGACAGATTGAGGAATGACCTCATTTTGCTGCTCCTGTGTTTGTTTGGGGGCCACATTTTAGGTTTTACAACGTCATTTTAAGTTCTTGACTCTGGGTTCCACCACTCTGTATGTACTTTTTATCTAGTGCGTCTCTGGCTCACTCATGAATGACAGACACCTCCAGCTCCCTGTTTTCATTGTGGGATGTAAAACAAGCAGCCTCGGTGGTCACCTTTGCGGAGACCCTCGTAATCCTCCCACAGGTGAGGCTAGATGATAGTGGCTTTTAAGCTAAAAACCACTGCAACACCGAGAGAAAATCCCAGGCCCGGAGAGACTGTCAGCCCAGGTTGGTTTTAGATTTGGAGTGAGTTTCTGGAGCACGGAGAAGTCATTCTACAGAAGGATCCTCAGACCCAACTACTAGATGATACTTACTCAGTCCACTGAGGACTGAGCCCGGCCCCAGAGCCTGGAGTCATAATTTAATTCTGCATCTGCAGGTTCTGTCACCCTCTTGTATCCAAATACTAGGGCTCCACTGTCACCAAGCGAGGGTGCTTCCACCCAGAGCCCTGCATCCTCCAAAGGTCCCAGGAACTGACTTAAAGAAGACCTATTTCAGGCCTGGACTTTTCTGGTGTGTAGGAGGTGAGAGGGCTGTGTGGACCTCTGCAGAAACCTTATTCTTCATTCACTGTGTTAAAGCCTAAGGGCACTGCTTTTCTCCTTAGAAGAAAAAAAAGCTTCACTTTCTTGACTCATCCCCAGTCATTATTCTGGGTCTCCAAAGTACCAGCCAGCTGGTTCCCTCGGCTGGTGCTGATGCTGGGTAGAGGGGACAGGTGTGGCTGGAAACATGGGGCAGGCGGGGGAGCCAGGTGTCTTTCCTTCAATCCATCCTAGGCTCCTATTTCCTTCCTGGCTGGAAAGACACCTCCAATCCTGTCCATTAATGAACAACCACGTGACTACAACAGCTGCTTAATATGGGCTAGCTTTATGCTTACCTGGGTTAATAATAAATACCAATACCAATACTAACATAAAACAATATCATTATTGGATAACAGAAATACAGCTGGGGCATCTGTCTCCTGGGACAAATCCCTTGGCCATATCTGTGCTAGGGCTAGTGTATCCAAGGGATGGGGCTTCCTGGTAGCTCAGTGGTAAAGTATTCACCCGCCAATGTAGGAGATGAGGAGATGGGTTTGATTCCTGGGTTGGGAAGACCCCCTGGAGAAGGAAATGGCAGCTCACTCCAGTATACTTGCCTGGGAAAGCCTATGGACCGAGGAGCCTGGTGGCCTACAGTCCATGGGGTCACAAGAGTTGGACATGACTAAGCAGCTGAGTGTGGGCGCAAGGCCCAAGGGGACTGCATTGCAGCCTGAAGCAGCGATCCAGTTACACTTGGTCTTCCCAGAAAATTCTTGCTTCTGTGTCTTCAGAGGCATGCTCCTTCCTTGAGCCTGTGAGGAGAAGAAACTGCAGGCTCCCCAGCCCAGCAGCCGCCATCAGGGTGGGCTGTGCGGTGCCTGGCTGGCATTGTGCATGGAGAAGGCGGCATCGTGATGGAAGCTCAGCCAAACTGTGGAGGTGGTGATGTCTCTGCTCCTTCCCTCGCAGTTTCCCATCTTAATGAGTCCTCTCTTTGCTGACTTCTCCTGCAGTGGCAGTGCTTCTGCATCCCCCTAATCACTGCGCCAGGGAACAGCTCACTGCTGCAGCAATGCCTCTCCTCACTGCTGGGCATCCACCACACTCCTGGAGGAACCTCCTTGAAACACAGTTGTGTCCTAACTGGTGGCAAGAGAAAGACAGAGTGTGGCACACACATCTGTCATTTTCTCCAGGGAGAATGCCTCTATCTCATTAGTAGCAGAACATGTTCCACTGGTCAGGATGCCACGTGGAGGGGCTGAGATGCTTCTGTGGGATGCCATGGGCATGTGTCTGGGGAGGAGACAGTTCTACTTGTAGAACAGAGGGGGCCTTCTCTGGCACCTTCCTCCATTTGACCCTTTTTTCTCTGAAGGTCCCGCATGGATTATGCCACAGTCTGGCCACCAGGAAGGCAGGCACCCCAATGGGTTAAGTGTTGCTCCAGGTCCCTGAGGGGCCCTCATCTCACTGCCAACACCCCTTTTATGAGAACCAGCATGAATATCCAACCTTGTCTGGTGTATATGCAGATGGCATGTGGTGGGTTGGTCATACTGGTTAATTAGTATCTCTTTAAATGCATCTTAAAAGTTAAGATACTTTAAGTTGAGTCTTACTGCTCTGAGTTGCCACATTTGGTGATGACACTTTACTCCCCCTAGAAAATAAACAAACAACTTGCTCCAAGGCCACAGGATGCCTCAGGACTCATTCAGTAAGAGTCTGTTCAACTACAATGAGGTATCACCTCACACTGTAAAGAATGGCCATCATCAAACAAATCTACAAACAGTAAATACTGGAGAAAAGGGAACCTTCTTGCACAATTGGCGGGAATGTAAATTGATACAGTCCACTATGGAGAACAGATTTCTTGAAAAAATCTAGGAATAAAACTACCATATGAGCCAGCAATCCCACTATTAGGCATATACCCTGAGAAAAACCATGATTCTAAAAGACCATGTACCCCAGTGTTCATTGCAGCACTATTTACAATAGCCAGGACATGGAAACAGCCTAATGGATAAAGAAGTTGTTGTACAAATATACAATGGAATATTACTCTGTCATAAAAGGAATGAATTTGAGTCAGTTCTGGTGAGGTGGATGAAACTAGAACCTGTTACACAGAGTGAAGTAAGTCAGAAAGAAAAAACAAATACCGTATATTAACGCATATACATGAAATCTAGAAAAAGGGTAGTGATGAACCTATTTGCAGGGCAGCAGTAGAGACACAGACATAGAGAACAGGCTAGTGGACACAGCAAGGGAGGGGACAGGGTGGGGTTGAATTGAGAGGGAAGCATTGAAACCTAAACATTACCACATGTGAAACAGATAGCCAGTGGGACTATGAGGCAGGCAGCTCAACTCACAGCTCTCTGACAGCCTAGATGGGTGGGAGGGAGTGAGAGGCGGGGAAGGGGGTTCAGGAGGGAGGTGACATATGTATACCTAAGGCTGATTCATGCTGGTGTATGTCAGAAGCCAACACAACATTGTGAAGCAGTTATCCTCCAATTAAAAATAAATACATATTAAAAAGAGTCAGTTTAAGTCCATTTTTAAGGCTCATGGGGTCTTAGAGGGATTCCTTTGTCACGTTAAGATTTCCCTCCAAACTCTATTTCCCAGTCGAGTTCAAAGTTGACATTTTCTAGACTCTCAAGCAATTGAAAAGCCATCAAGTTGAATATTAAAAATTCAAAATGGATTTACAAATAGAACCTTTACTTTTTTTTTTTTTAGAACCTTTACATTTGCAGAGATTAAGCTATTAAGAAATGGATCCCTGTGGTGAAGCTGTGTGTCTGGGGGCTCCTGGGAATTAAGCTGCAGGCAGAGCTGCCAGGACATGTTATGAAAGCCACCTCCTTGGCCCCCTCTTCTTCCCTGGGCTGCAGGGTTTCACCCTCAGGAAGAAGGAGCCTGGGTAGCTCCAGTGTCTGCCTCTAATGGGCCTGTGTCCCTTGCTCCCACAGCTTGTCACATTCTGGAGTGTTGTGATGGGCTGGCCCAGGATGTCATTGGCTCCATCGGACAAGCCTTTGAGCTCCGGTTTAAGCAGTATTTGCAGTGTCCTTCCAAGATCGCTGCTCTTCATGACCGGTGAGTAGTGCTGTGACACCATTTGCAAGGCCTCTCTGCATTTTCTGACCTTTACTCTTAAAATCACTTAAAAGGAGAAAAACCACAAAACCAGCTCCCTGAGGGGTGCTCTGAATGGACAGTTAATCACGGCACCCTGGGCTTGGAGACACCTGGCCGGTGCTGGGCTGGGACTCAGAAAACTGACAGATGGAAGCTGACATATGGGTGATGCTCCCAATGTTTAGAAAAACATTTTCTTGAAACTATAGTGACAGTAGCTAAGGTTACAAAAAAAACACTGTAATATGTTTTTGTTCTGTTTCCCCTGCAAGCATGTGATGTTTCCATATGTTGTCTTCTTGGATCTGCGTTACCCTGGGTTCTACCTGTCCTGTTGTCCTCATCATCAGGGTTAGCCAGAGTCCTGATTCAGAGGCTCCTGTCATGAGGCGCTATGCTTGGGATGACCAGCATTTGTTCTGCTTTATTGGACTTTGTAGCTTTCAGGCTCAATGGCTGTAGGGCCCTGATCTTTGTCTCACCAGTTTTTTTTTCTGTAGGGAGAAGACTCTTGAGAGTCCCTAGGACTGCAAGGAGATCAAACCAGTCAATACTAAAGGAAATCAACCCTGAATATTCTTGGAAGGATTGATGCTGAAGCTGGAGCTCCAATCCTTTGGCCATGTGATGCAAAGAGCTGACTCATTGGAAAAGACCCTGAAGCTTGGAAAGATTGAGAGCAAGAGGAGAAGAAGTGGGTGATAGAGGATGAAATGGTGGGATGGCATCACTAGCTCAATGGACATGAGTTTGAGCCAACTCTAGGAGACAGTGAAGGACAGGGAAGCATGGCGAGCTGCAGTGCATGGGCATTGCAAAGAGTTGGACACAACTTACTGACTGAACAACAAGTTTTCTCTGTAAAATAGGAATAATAGTAGCTTGCAGTATTTTAAACATTAAGTTCAGTTCAGTTGCTCAGTCATATCTGACCCTTTGTGATCCTACGGACTGCAGCATGCCAGGCTTCCCTGTCCATCACCAACTCCTGGAGCTTGCTCAAACCTAGATCCATTGAGTCGGTAATGCCATCCAACCATCTCATCCTCTGTCATCCCCTTCTCCTCCTGCCCCCAATCCCTCCCAGCATCAGGGTGTTTTCCAATGAGTCATTTCTGCACATCAGGTGGCCAAAGTGTTGGAGTTTCAGCTTCAGCATCAGTCCTTCCAATGAATATTCAGGACTGATTGCCTTTAGGATGGACTGGTTGAATCTCCTTGCAGTCCAAAGGACTCTCAAGAGTCTTCTCGAACACCACAGTTCAAAAGCATCAATTCTTTGGCACTCAGCTTTCTCTATAGTCCTACACTCATATCTCTACATGACTACTAGAAAAACTACAGCTTTGACTAGACAGATTTTGTAGGCAAAGTAATGTCTCTGCTGCTTAATATGCTGTCTAGGTTGGTCATAGTTTTTCTTCCAAGGGGCAAGCATCTTTTAATTTCATGGCTGCAGTCACCATCTGCACTGATTTTGGAGCCCAAGAAAATAAAGTCTCTCACTGTTCCCACTGTTTTCCTATCTATTTGCCATGAAGTGATGGGACCAGATGCCATGATCTTAGTTTTTTGAATGTTGAGTTTTAAGCCAACATTTTTCACTCTCCTCTTTCACTTTCATCAAGAGGCTTTTAGTTCCTTTTTGCCTTTTGCCATAAGGGTGGTGTCATCTGCATATCTGAGGTTATTGATATTTCTCCCAGAAATCTTGATTCCAGCTTGTGCTTCATTCAGCCTGGCATTTTGCATGATGTATTCTGCAAAGAAGTTAAATAAGCAGGGTAACAATATACAGCCTTGACGTACCCCTTTCNTCTATTAGGTCCGTACCATTTCTGTCCTTTATTGTACTCATCTTTGCATAAAATGTTCCCTTGGTATCTCTAATTTTCTTAAAGAGATCTCTAGTCCTTCCCATTCTATTGTTTTCCTCTATTTCTTTGCATTGATCACTTAGGAAGTCTTTCTTATCTCTCCTTGCTATTCTTTGGAACTCTGCATTCAGATGGATATATCTTTTCTTTTCTCCTTTGCCTTTCGCTTCTCCTCTTTCCTCAGCTATTTGTAAGGCCTCCTCAGCCAACCATTTTGCCTTTTTGCATTTCTTCTTCTTGGGACATGCTTCTCTGGGCATATACTTAAGGTGTGAAGTCCTTACATGTTTCTATATAATAAAGTTTGAAGAAGTTTTGGGGAAAGAAAATGAAGAAGAGAGATCTTATCTATTGAGAAAACGTTGAATCCAATATGCAAGTAATGGTAAAAAATTTCTAAAGCAGAGCATCAGCCAGGGGTCCTGTGTTCCCTGACATCATTCCCATCTGGCCTGACAAGCTGCTTGTGTCCACTGAGGAGGTATGAGACCCATCAGGTGGGAATGTGCTGCCTTCTGGCCCTACTGGGTCCATGAGAGAGCACATCTTGCCTCCAGCTGCCACACTCTTTTTCCCCTCCCCACCCTTTTTCAGAGACCTTAGACTGCAGAAGTCACTGGCCCATTTTCCTTCTAGATTTCCCAGAGGCCAGCAAGACAGGAGGTTCTGTTTGTGAGCAGTTCTCCTTGGGTTTGCTTCTCGCTTGCTCAGGCCATTTCTCTTCAAATTGGGAATGAGCTGGAAGTGTGAGAATTTGGTATAATCAGCTTCTTTGTCCACGTTCCTCCAAGTTGAGTTGGGGACAGATGAGTGTGGAGTGAAGCTGGTGACGTTAGGGCCCAGGAAGCTGCCCCAGCATCTCAAAGTTTCAGGCTGGTGCACATGGCTTCCTCCCTCTTCTCTTGATGCTGATGGTTGGATGACTTTACTTATTATTCGTGAATTATTTTTTGCTCATTGTATTAATTATTGGGGGACAGATTCTGTATCTGGAATCATCACCCATCTCCAACTGGAAATCAAAAATAGTACTTTTAAATGAATGGAAGTTTTGGTATGATCTGATTTTCCTTAGAAGATTTTTCCTCGCCAAAATCCAGGGTCATTTTCAACACAAAATCAGAGAAGACAATGAAAAAGAATTCAAATGTAGTCAAATCTCTTTTGATTATTAAAAAAATTTTTTGATATATAATTTATGATGAAAATACCCTTTTGGAATATATAGTTCTGTAGTATTTAGTACTGTCAGAGTCTGTATAACTATCATTCCTATATAATTCCAGAACATTTTCATCACCCCAGCAAGAAACTCCATACTTATTAGCAGTTAATTCCCCAAATTGCAATCTTCTCTCCCGAGATAATCATTGTTCTACTTTCTGTCTTCATTGATTCACCAGTTCTGGATATTTTATATGCATGGAATCATAGAATATGTGCTTGACTAGTTTCACTTACTGGATTGTTTTCAAGGTTAAGCTATGTTGTACCATGTATCAGTTTGGCATTTTTAGGATTGAATAATATTCTTCTGCATACATTTGTTACCTTTTGTTTATACTTTCCTTGGTTTGTGGATATTAGGGTTGTTTTCACCTTTTAGTTCTCATGAATTGTGCTGCTGTGAAGATGTGTACAAGTTCTTGTGTGAACAGATGTTTCAATACTCTTGGGTATATAACTAGAAATAGAATTGCCTAGTCATATGGTAACACTGTGCTAAAGTTTTAGAAACTGCCAAACTGATTTCCAAAGTGGTTGTACCATTTTATATTTTCACCAGAATGTATGAGTTTCAGTTTCACTGATATTTGTCATTGTCCATCATTTTGATTTTAGCTATCCTCATGAGTACAAAGTGGTCTCTAATTGTGATTTTGATTTGCATTTTCTTGATAACTATTGATGTCAAGCATCTTTTCATGTGCTTATTGGCTATTTGTATATCTTATTTGGAGAGATATCTGCTCAAATCCGTGGCCCATTTTAAAAATTATAGTTGATTTACAGTGCTGTGTTACTTTCTGCTATACAACAATGTCAGTCAGTTACATATATATATACACATATATAAATATGTATATATCTCCACTTCTTTTTAGATTTTTTTCCCCATAGATCATTACAGAGTACTGAATAGAGTTCCCTGAGCTATACAGTAGTTTCTTATTAGTTATCTATTTCATATACAGTAGTGTGTATATGTCAGTTCCAATCTTGCAGTTTATCCCTCCCTCCCTTTTCCCCCCTGGTAACCATAAGTACATTTTCTGCATCTGTGACAATTTCCATTTCATAAATCGGTTCATGTGTACCATTTATTTGTTAGATTCCATGTATAAACAACATCATGTGATATTTATCTTCTGTGTCTGACTTGCTTTACTCTGTGCTGAGTAGTATTCCATTGCATGTATGTGCTGCATCTTACTTATCCATTCCTCTGTCGATGGACATTCAGGTTGATTCCATGTCCTGGCTATTGTAAATAGTGCTATAATGAACATTTGGGGTGTGTGTATTATTTCAAATTATGATTTTCTCTGGATGTCTTCTTTGGAGAAATGTCTTTCTAGATCTTCCCCCCAATTTTGATTGGATTGTTCGTTCTTTATAATGAGCTGCATGAGCTGTTTATATATTTTAGATTAATCTCTTGTTGGTTGCTGTGTTTGAAAATATTTTCTCCCATTCTGTGGGTTTTCTTTTCATTTTGTTGATGATTTCCTTTGCTGTGCAAAAACTTCTAAGTTTATTTAGGTCCCATTTGTTTATTATTATTTTTGTTAATCTCAGAGATTAACCAAAAAAGATCCTGCTGTGATTTATGTCAGAAAGTGTTCTGCCAATGTTTTCCTGTAAGCATTTTATAGTGTCTGGTCTTTCATGTAGGCCTTTAATCCATTTTGAATTTATATTTGTGTATGATGTTAGAGAATGTTCTAATTTCATTCTTTTAGATGTAGTTGTCCAGTTTTCCTAGTTCACTTATTGAGGACGCTGTCTTCTCTTCATTGTATATTCTTCCCTCCTTTGTCATAGATTAGGTGACCATAGGTGAGTAAATTTATCTCTGGACTTTCTTTCCTGTTACACTGATTTATATTTCTGTTTTTGTGCCAGTACCACATTGTTTTGATTACTGTAGCTTGGTAGTATAGCCTGAAGTCAGAGAGACTCATTTTTCTTTCTCAAGATTGTCTTGGCTCTTCAGTGTCTTTTGTGCTTCCATACAAACTGTGAAGTTTTTCTTGCTGTAATTCTGTGAAAAAATGTTATCGGTAATTTGATAGAAGTTTCATTGAATCTGCTGATTGCTTTGGATAGTATAGTCATTTTGACAATGCTGATTCTTCCAATCTAAGAACATGGTATATTTCTCCATCTGTTTATGTTATCTTTGATTTCTTTCATCAGTATCTTATAGTTTTCTGAGTATAGGTCTTTTGCCTCCTTAAAGCAAGGTTTATTCCTAGGTATTTTATTCTTTCTGATGCAGTGATAAATGGGATTGTTTCCTTAGTTTCTCTTAGTTTCTTTGATCTTTTGTTGTTAGCATATTGGAATGCAAGAGATTTTTGTATATTAATTTTGTATCCTGCAACTTTACCAAATTCTGCTCTGGTAGTTTTCTGGTAACATCTTTAGGACTTTCTGTGTATAGTATCATGTCATTTGCAAACAGTGACAAATTTACTTCTTGCTTTCCAATTTGAATTCCTTTAATTTCTCTTTTTTTCTCTGATTGCTGTGGCTAGGACTCACAAAACTATCTTAAATAAAAGTGGCAAGACTGCACATCCTTGTCTTATTCCTGATCTTAGAGGAAATCCTTTCAAATTTTTCACTGTAGAGAATGATANCTTCTGTTTTTTTGGAGGAATTATGAAGAATTGCTATTAATTCTCCTTTAGATATTAGATAGAATTCACCAGGAAGCCGTATGATTCTGGGCTTTTCTTGGGAAGCAAGATTTTGATTACTAATTTAGTCTCATTGTTACAGTTATCTTCAGGTTTTCTATTTCTTCTTGAGTTATTTTTGATAGATTGAGTCTTCATAGGAATTTTTCCATTTCATGTAGATTACCTAATTTGTTGGTTTATAATTTTTAATAGTTTCTCTTATAATCCTTTTAATTCATGTATGAGATTGGTAGCAATTTCTCCACTTTTCTTCCTAACTTAGTTTGAGTCTGCTCTGTTCTTTCTTGGTCAGTCTAGCTATAGATTTGTCAATACTGTTGATCTTTATAATAACCAACTCGGTTTCATTGCTTTTCTCTATTGATTTTCTACTATTTTTATTTCTACCGTAATCTTTATTGTTTTTGTTTCTGCTTGCTTTGGGTTTAACTCTTATTTTCTAGTTTATTAAGGTAGAAATTCAGGTTGTTGATTTGATATTGTCTATTATCATATAGGCATTTATAGCTCATAAAGTTCTGTGTAAACACAGACTTTCCCTGTAAGTCTTAAACCCCTCAAAGTCATCCATGAGGGTTGAAACTAACTTCTTCCAAACCCCTATTAATGTTGAAGTTTTACCTCTTTCCACGAATCATGAGTGTTTTTGATAGCATCTAGAATGATCAGTCCTTCCTAGAAGGCTTTCAATTGACTTTGCTCAGGTTGATCAGAGGAATCAATACTTATGGCAGCTATTGCCTTATGAAATGTATTTCTTAAGTAATAAGACTTGAAAATTGAAATTACTCCTTGATTCAGGGGCTGCAGGATGAATGTTGTGTTAGCAAGCTTAAAAACAACATTAATCTCAATTAGAACTCTTGGGTGACCAGGTACATTGTCAATAAGTAGTAATATTTTGAAAGGAATTATTTCTGTCCAAGCAATAAGTCTCAACAGTGGGCTTAAAATATTCAGTAAACCATGCTATAAACAGATATCCTGTCATCCAGACTTTGCTGATCCATTTGTAGAGCATAGGCAGAGTAGATTTAGCATAATTCCTAAGGGCCCTAAAGTTTTCAGAACGGTAAATGAGCCCTGGCTTCAACTTAAAGTCACCGACTGCATTAGCCCCTAGCAATAGTCAGTTTGTCCTTTGAAGCTTTGAAGCCAGGCATTGACTTCTCTCTAGCTCTGAAATTCCTAGATGGTATCTTCTTCCAATATGAAGCTATTTTGTTTACATGGAAAATCTGTTGTTTAGTGTAGCCACCTTCGTTATCTTAGTGAGATACTCCAAATAACTTGCAACTGTTTCTATCAATACAGCAGCATTTGCTGCTTTGCCTTGAACTTTGATGTTATGGAAATGTCTTCTTTCCTTAAATCTCATGAACCAACCTCTGCTAGATTCAAGCTTTTCTTCGGCAGTTTCCTCATCTCTTATAAATTGAAAAGAATTGGGATTCACTTGCTCTGGATTAGGCTTTGGCTTAAGGTAACGTTGAGGCTGGTTTTACCCTCTATCCAGATCTTTCATGCATTGGAGAAGGAAATGGCAACCCACTCCAGTCTTCTTGCCTGGAGAATCCCAGGGGCGGGGGAGCCTGGTGGGCTGCTGTCTATGGGGTCGCACAGAATCGAACACTACTGAAGCGACTTAGCAGCAGCAGCAGATCTCTCAAAAGGTCTCCATATAAACAATAGGACTGTTTTACTTTCTTATTACTCGTGTTCACTGGAGTAGCTGTTGCTGCTGTTTGTTGTGGTTGTTTGTTTTAATGATTTTCCTAAACCAACGTAGTAAAGTCTATATTTTGTTACATATGACCACTGACAACTCTGCTCAGGTTACTTATTAGACAGCTAATGATCAAAGAGAGATTTAAATGTCTGAAATCACTAAGTCCCCCAGCTTTTGCTGAGTTACTCTGTGTGAATCTTGGGGGAACTCCTTCAACACTCAGCTGGGCAGCTGGCAACTCTGCTTTAGCTTTCACTTTCTGCTTGTGCAAAACTTCAAGGTCAGTGTAGATGAGAACTAATGCCTTCTTACATCTTTTCTGAGCAGGTACACAACCCGGATGTGAAAACAGTTCTATGCATACATGTAGATGCCTAGATTCCTAGAAATATGTCAAAGTTGATCATTTCCCAGCTTTTTTTTTTTAAGCTTTTTGACTAGCTTACTCTTTAGCCCAAATGTTATCTATTGTTTCAGGGAGTCATAGTGTTAAATAATTGCCTCTAATTGTTTTTGACAAATGACCTTATGGAAGAAGCTGTTTTCCATAGACAAGCTCTGAATCAGGCCAAATAAAGACAGTTTTGGGAGTGGAGTCTTATAGAGAATGATCAGAAAGGTCATAATGACTGTTTTCTGGGAATAGGGCTTTACAGGAACCTAAATGCTCTTTTGCCTCCTCCCTCGTCTAGTTATTTAGGCTGCGGTTTTCACTGTGACTATTGGATTTTGGCTCTTAAGGCTACCCTGGAGATGGCAACAGAGCAAGTTAAAATGCACCAAAACTCTTGTCCTGCCAGCTATTTATGTCTTTTTTTGTTTGTTTAATAAACACTCTCTAGATTGGTACAAACTTCTGATTAATTTCCAGAGCTCTAAAAATGTTGATCATGAAAACATTTTTTGCTAGCTTTCTTGTTGTCATTACAGAGGAGAGAATAATTCAGAGGTCCTTACTCTGCCATTTTCCTTGATGTCACTAAATCTCCATTAAAGTTAATTTTGTTTTGGGTAAATTTCATGATGTACGAAAATGTGTGTCTATACCTCAAGAAGCTGATTATCATTACATATAAACTATGTCTTTCCTTATTAAAATGTAGTGTTAATAAAGGAGTTCTTTTCTGTTTCAAATAAGACTGGAATTTTCTAAAGGGTAGCACTGTGAATAAGGCAGGGGTATTTGGCTGAACCACTCATCTGCTTTTTACATGTGTCTGAGACCTAGGTCGTTGAAGGGGGAGTGACTAAACTCTGCTATCTGGGACTATCGTTACTAATATTAGATTTTTTTTTTGTTTTGACAGTAAGTTCAACTTTCGGTTAAAGTTCTTGAAAACCCTCTCTTAACAGAATGCAGAGTCTAGATGAGCCGTGGACTGAAGAGGAGAGTGATGGGTCAGATCACCCGTATTACAACAGTGTTCCAAGCAAGACACCTCCTCCAGGGGGGTTTGCCGATGCTCGCCTGAAAGCCAGACCCCATGGTCCTGACACAGTCCAGGTGAGTCTTATATCTATCCTTGAATGGGAGCTAACTGAACTTCATTTCCTATTGCTTTCTTCAACTCTATTTTCAGGCTAATGTTTTATCCAGACAGAAAACTCACAAACTTCCTCCCCTTGAATTTCATAAAGCAGACAGTAGGGGAAGCTTTTGCTTTAACATCACAAGGTTCCAAATGCCTTGGAATGCCATTGTGATTCCTGAGATATACAAGTCTGCAAGTTCCCTCTTCATCCCAGGACAAATCCCATTGTATTGCGAACTTAATGAGGAAAAGAGAGAGTTCAAGACTTTTAAAAGCCTGGGGTACTTTGAGTTCTCTGGAAAGAGAAAGAATGTAAGCTTTTAACATAGGATTTTTTTTTTTTTTGAGGTTTTCTATTTTACTTATCTCCCTGATTTTCCCTCTAATTCAAAATTCTAGTAAGACATTCTCTTTCTAGAGTTTTGGTAGCTCTATGATATCTCACTGTTATAGGGAATTTTTTTGATGTCGCTTACCTTATGTGGATGACAATAAAAGTGGTAAATAACACTGAAGCCAAGGGTCAAAGCTCTATAAGAAGGAATCGACAAGGTGGATTTGCCCAATAATGAATGGTTATAGGTGTATATGCTGGGTGGAAACTATGTTCTGACACATAAATAGTCTCTAACTGAAATCCATTTTAAGGCATGTTCTGTGATGTGGCTGTATGTAGAGAGTTCAGTTTATGGTCACACTTAGGGAAGGGAGGTGGGGGGGGTAGGTTATGAAAACAGGGAGCATCTGTAGTTTTGATGAGATGTAGCCTCTTTTTTCACACCCACACAGACTTACTTCCCAAATCTTCATGTCAACTGTGAGGCATGAAGGGAAAATTGAGTGCAACAGGAATGCAATCCACTGGCCACTGAAGTCCCTTCTACTGTACTATGGTTTTTAAAGGTGGAGATGCAAGAAGAAGAGGACTTTTTCTTGTTTTGTATTTACATATGTCTATAGTTTGCAGGAAAAGAGCAAACTTACTACCAGGGGAGACACTTAGGAGACCCGTTTGGTGAAGACTGGCAGCCTACACCTGTCAGGCAAGGTGAGAGGCAAGGTAAGGTGGGCAAGAAGCATAAAAATACTTTTCAAAAGTGATGTGCTCCCTACTGGCTGGTTCCTGTCCTGTGGAGTGGCAGAGTGGCTGACTGGAAATAACTGCTGTGGGTGGAGCTGCAGTATCCCAACCGGATCACAGAAACAGAAATAACAGCTGTCAGGGATACCAAATCAAAGAAATAGAAATAATGGCTGTCAGGGATGTCGGAGGGCACGCATCAGATAATCCCTCCCAGGGCACCAGGACCAGCTCACTCTTCACCCCTCCCAGTTCTTCCTGTTCTCCTGCACCCTGAGACTCTGCCCCTAAGGCCCTTCTCCGGCAGGAGGGCTTGCCCACCCAGGGGCTGAGGAATTCACCTCCCCAGGGCCAACTCCACACCCAGTTCAAATGAGGCTAAGGTGGGAGACTCTGGAGTCAATATGGAATCCTGGTAGCTTCTAATAGCGGCTTGTAGTTTTCCCTTCCTTTCCTCTGCCCCACCTCCCTCTTCTACGGTCCCCTTTAGGAAGAACGGAGTGATACCAGCCCTGGCAGAGATGGTACCTGGAGTATAAGTCTGTCACAGGGCCTGGGTCCTTTTAGAGGACATTTCACTTCTTATCAAACCTATAAGCATGCACCTACATCCTGCATTAAAAATAGTATGACTAATTAAGTACTACTTAGTTTAATTGCTAACATCAGTCTCTATTCTCTAGACAGTTATTTTTAGATAAGCATACACATGTATGTATCTATGAGTACGTTTTAAAGGTTTCTTTTAATTTTAAACATTTTACCTCCTCAAACATTTCGAGAACTTTTGACAGTTCCAGGGTCCTGGCTACAGGGTCTAAAGGAGATGGATTAATAAATGAATTAAGATCTGATGTATGCTTCTATGTATATATTTTAACCATTTGTTGGTTTAACATTAAGGTTTTCACCTTCATTATTGCCATTTGTGCTAGTGGGTAAATGACAATATGTATTTTAAATGTTCCTCTTGTGAAGTAATTTTATGTCATGCCTGCCCCAGCTGAACGATGACCCATTTGTGCTTCCCAGTTAGTAATCCATAAAAGAGCCGACAAACGACATGACTCTACCTCAGAATTGGATAGAAATAGCAAATTAAAGTTATAACTTTGCCAGAGGCATTTTTTTACATTTTCAACTTTGTTCTGTATACATTAAAAAAATTTTAGACAACAATCATGTACTTAGACATAGAATAACTATTAAAGACTAAGGGAGACACATTACTTACATTAGATATTGACTCTATTGAAAAATTTGTTAGATTTATTTGAAAATGAGGTCCTTTTTTATATCCAAGTTATTCCAGCCAGATAAGGAACAGACAATGTAAGAAATTCACCAGAGAAAAAATGAGCCTTATATAAGTTCTTGGCCTGGAACTTGAGACTCATAACTCTTAATGAATTTCAAGTTCTTATTGGAAAGCAATAAATACCTTGTCCATAGAACAAATAAACCTCTATTAATCTGCTAGCAGCCATTTCCCATAAATGAAACTAAACTCTGGGTACCACCATCAGGGAGTGTATGTCTCCCTGGCCTGCACTCAACACTCGCAAACATCTGAAGCTGATGACTTTCTCAGGACACTTGCGTTTTCAGGCTTTTAGGCCAGAGACAGTGGTGCTGCCACAAGGCCTTCAGTGGGCTCCTGGGAAAGTTTCTTAAAGAATCCTGAGCCCACTCTTGCCGGTTGGATTGAGCCAACTTTCATGCCCCACCACCTGGAGAGGTGACCTCTCTCTAGGCCCAAGGTGATCTTGAGAGTGTCTGTGGAAGTTTGTTAGAAACAGTGATCCTGTGCAAAGAATCAGATAGTGACCTGGGCAGGGCCACACCCTTCCTTCACTTTGGGCGACAATAGCAGTGACCCTCCCCCAGTCCAACCTCAACAGTCTTGTTTCAGTTGGGAAGTCCCAGATGGCACAAGCCTGATTCTGTTTTACAAGGAAAGAGTCTCAGTTCATTAGCAAATGGGGTAAATATTGCTTTATTTCTAAAAATGGGGCCAGAGCATTGGAAATGCATTGCATTTCTGGCGGAGCTAATATATGACGCACTTACCTACACTGAAAAAAAGAGCAGTGAAAATAAGGCTCGTTGTTCTTCTGCTCAGTTATTTTGATCTCAGTCCTTCGCAGAGGGAATGAGGAGGCTGAGGAAGCTTCTGTGGCAGGTGTGGTTCCCCTGCTCCTCCTGCGCCCCACCCCGGCCTGAGTCAGATGGGCCTAGGGTCTTGACAAGGCTCCTAACCTTCATGTTGTCCACCATCCTGGGCTGGCAGGGCCCGTTTTGACAGGAAGGAGTGGAGAGTATCCTAGCCAAAGCACAGCAGGGTAAGAGGGTCAGAGAAGAGATTTAATAGATGGGCATTGGAAAGAACGATTTTCTCATGATGGACTAAAGGAACTTCTCTGTGAAACATTGGGTGGCTTAACATAAATAGCATTACGATCAGAAGAGAAAAGAGGTCTATTTTCTTGTTGCAGGATCCTTGGACATCTACAGCATGCCTGAAGGGAAATCACATGTGGCTCCTACGGGAGAAGCTCCCACCTATGTCAATACCCAGCGTATCCCCCAGCAGACGGGGCCGGTCACGGGCAGCAGTGCAGAAAGCAGCCCTCGGAAAGACCTCTTTGACATGAGTGCGTTTCCATTTGCTATTGTTTTTTTCTCTTTTAAGGCTGTTTTTTTTTTTTTTAACTTTGTCTTTTGTTTGAAATCTGTGCAATTACTGTTTTTTCTTCCAGTGTGGTTTTGATTAAGAATGCTGATTAGCTGGGTTTTTTTTTTTTTTTCTGGGTTATGATTGAGTTTTCCAAGATTTTGAACTTTTTTGCTTTCGTATTACAACCTTCTCTGCAGTTCTCTGCAGAAGACAAAGCAACTTCCCCCTCTTTTTATAATTAACTTTGTCCTTGACAATCATATTGAGACAAATGATATACATAAATGAATGCATTCATTTATTTCTTCACTTAGGTATTAATTGGATATTGTGTGCCTAAAATACTGTATCAGTTTTAAGGATGCCAAGCTGAAATGGCGTGGCCCCTCTTAATCTGCTGAATAAAACTAACATGTAAGCGAGAAATTGTAATACACCCATGTGTTTGCCTACACACACCCACTTTCCCTCTCCCCTTCTTCCTCTCCACTGAATACCCACCAGGTGTCAAATACTGTTCTATTTACTGGGGATATACAGGAAAACAAAATAGACAAAGTCCCTACTCTCATGGAGTTTAAATAACCACCACGTGTTACAGGTAGTGACAAATGCTCTGATGAAAATAAAATGGAATGAGAAGAGTGACCCCAAATTACTGTTGCTTGCACTCTAGTGTGATAGGTGTCAGGGACCTCTGTTTGTCATATAGATTGGGAAAAATAAGTCATCTGTGAACTGGTTAATGAAAGTGTAAATTGTTGTTAAAGAATTTTGAAAGAGCTTTCTAAGCTCACAGATAGCTTTACATTCCCAGATTTCTTTTTCAACTTCATTGAGAACTTTACAGGCTGAAGAGGGAGGGAGAGGAGACTAGAATTTAGTCAGTTTCTACCACCTGGCAAGGTGCATATTTTTTAATTTTTCCAGTAGTCTTATGGGTAGATATTATTATTATCATTATTATTACTCTTTTGCAGAGGAAGAAATAGAGACTCCCAGAAGTTTGGTAAATTCACTGTTGGTTCAATACTTGGTATTGTATGTGGGTGAGGATAGGATTGAGTGCTTTTATGAATAGTCTGCACCATGACAACAATAGTTTATTTCTCCCAGGATGACAGACAAAAATTCACCAGAGCCAGAAGAACTACAGAATCATCTAATCCAGTCTAATCCAATCTCTTCATTAAAAAAAAAAAGTGGAAATAGCCTAGGAGGTATGAAGGGACTTTGCAAAATTTAGCACCAACTGTTAGCTCCTTGACCCTCTGCTCCAGTTTTAGCAATGTCTCCCAACTTTATTTTAGTAGTTGAATTTATGGCAGACCATTTTCACTGCTTAATTTAGTCAAGTTGCCAGTGAATTCTGGCCCCAGAGCCTGAGAAGAGTTAGATTCGGCTGGGGTTTGAGATGGGAAAAATGAAAGCCCAAGCCACCCTTTTCTCATCCCTCAATTTCCACTCCTACGCCCAAAACTAGAGAAGGGGAGAGAGAAAGCAGACAGAGCCCTGGAGAAGCTAATATCTGCTGAAAGGTGTTGGAGAAATAGACCTAGTGCCCTGTTTATCTTGAACACCAAGGCCAAGTGTTCGTCACTCAGTTGTGCCCAACTCTTTGTGACCCCATGGACTGTAGCCCGCCAGGTTCCTCTGTCCATGGGATTTCCCAGGCAAGAATACTGGAGAGGGTTGCCATTCCCTTCTCCAGGGGATCTTCCTGACCCAGGGATCGAACCCAGGTCTCCCGCATTGCAGGCAGATTCTTTACCGTCTGAGCCACCAGAAGCAGTATCTTGAACCACTATAGCTAAATAACAATGGTGATAGTGGTGCTGATTGTTCTGGTAATGGTACTGACAGTGGTGGTGATGATAATGATGGTAATGAAGGTGACGATAATGATGAGATGGTGATAGTGGTGTTGGTGCTGATGATGTTGATGGTGATGCTGGTGCTAGTATCTCAGTTGGTCTGAGATGATGGTGATGATGATGGTGATGGTATAGAAACAGAATACAAATTTTCAACTACTCTGAGTAATCAGGGAAAAAAGTAGAATGAAGAAAGAAAATACACAAACAATCTTAGCCCATAGTTTTAACCTCTTCTTTTTTGGGGTGGGGGGGCCCAAATCTGTAAATAATTTAATAAGTTGTCAAAACGTCTTAGTTTTAGTTTCATTCATTCACTTCACTTCTGCCCATTCTCTGCTAACATTTAACAAACTGGTCTGATTTTACAGCACTCCCTGAATGTTTGTAGGGTACAAACTATGACCCAGAAGCAGTGTTGGCCTCTGGGGATGTAGCCATGCCCAGGAGACAAACTTTCCTGGTCTTGTGGTGTTTGCACTGTATCGTGTTGGCAGTGTCGGCTGGGGTTTGAGATGGGAAAAATGAAAGCCCAAGCCACCCTTTTCTCATCCCTCAATTTCCACTCCTACGCCCAAAACTAGAGAAGGGGAGACAGAAAGCAGACAGAGCCCTGGAGAAGCTAATATCTGCTGAAAGGTGTTGGAGAAGTAGACCTAGTGCCCTGTTTATCTTGAACACCAAGGCCAAGTGTTCATCACTCAGTTGTGCCCAACTCTTTGTGACCCCATGGACTGTAGCCCGCCAGGCTCCTCTGTCCATGGGATTTCCCAGGCAAGAATACTGGAGAGGGTTGCCACTCCCTTCTCCAGGGGATCTTCCTGACCCAGGGATTGAACCCAGGTCTCCCGCATTGCAGGCAGATTCTTTACCGTCTGAGCCACCAGAAGCAGTATCTTTAACCACTATAGCTAAATAACAATGGTGATAGTGGTGCTGATTGTTCTGGTAATGGTACTGACAGTGGTGGTGATGATAATGATGGTAATGAAGGTGACGATAATGATGAGATGGTGATAGTGGTGTTGGTGATGATGATGTTGATGGTGATGCTGGTGCTAGTGGGTCTGAGATGATGGTGATGATGATGGTGATGGTATAGAAACAGAATACAAATTTTCAACTACACTGGGTAATCAGGGAAAAAAGTAGAATGAAGAGAGAAAATACACAAACAATTTTAGCCCATAGTTTTAACCTCTTCTTTTTTTGGGGGGGGGGGCAAATCTGTAAATAATTTAATAAGTTGTCAAAACGTCTTAGTTTTGGTTTCATTTATTCACTTCACTTCTGCCCATTCTCTGCTAACATTTAACAAACTGGTCTGATTTTACAGCACTCCCTGAATGTTTGTAGGGTAAAAACTATGAGCCAGGAGCAGTGTTGGCCTCTGGGGATGTAGCCATGCCCAGGAGACAAACTTTCCTGGTCTTGTGGTGTTTGCACTGTATCGTGTTGGCAGTGTGGTCCTCAATGAATATCACAACACCTTACTCCTGTGTAGCACTGTGTGCATTTTTCAGAGTGCTGTTACACATATTGCTTTGTTTGAAAATCGAACATTGAGATTTAATTAGATGTGCCTGTCGACTTCTCTCACTGCTGATACCTGTTGCTGTTTAGAGCAATTGCCCCACAGTGAGAAGTGTGCTCTGAAGGGCATAGAGTCAAGCTCAATCTCAAACATTCATACAAGAGCCTTTTTCCACAGGGCAACAAGTGAATGTCAAAGGGATGTAGAGCGCCTAGCCTGGGGCAAGTCACACAAAGGGCCGCTAATAAATGTTGGTTTTCTTCGCTTTTAAAAATGCACCTAATACAAAGATTTTGAAAGAAACATTTGTTGGGCTGGGTTTCGGTTTTGCACAAAACCTTGCAATTTGTCTTTTCCTCCGTGTATTTTCTTTGATGTTGACAGATTTTTATTCAGAAGAGAGCACATTTGTTGAAGAGGCTAGCCAACGTTACAGAGAAAGTAGATGGCATGTAGTATGCCTGGCCTCTTGGAGCATGCAAAAATGAAGTCATTCTAACTAGTGAGACAAAGGGTGTGCTTGAATCTTCGTCTTGGGAAAGCAGACTCATCAGAAAGAGTCATGCCAAGTTTTGGGCTGTGTTTTCAAATGCCATGATGATGAATCTTGTTTTCTTACCAGCCAGTCAGTTTTCTCTACTTTTATTTTTTTCTGGTCGAAGTTGCCTTTGCATTGCCAACCCTCACGTTGTGTTGTTTATCTTCTGCTCTCCTTGGAATTGACGTGTTGCTGGCACATGTTGTTGGCAGAGCCTTTTGAAGATGCCCTCAAGATTCAGTCCTTGGGGCCTGTGTTGAGCAAGGCAGCCTCCATGGAGTGCATCAGCCCCGTCTCACCCAGAGTGCCAGATGCCAAGATGCTGGAAGAACTGAAAGCAGAGCCTTGGTATCAAGGGGAGATGAGCAGGAAGGAGGCAGAGGGGCTGCTAAAGAGAGATGGAGACTTCTTGGTCAGGAAGAGTACCACCAACCCAGGCTCCTTCGTCCTCACTGGCATGCACAACGGCCAGGCCAAACACTTGCTGCTCGTGGACCCAGAAGGCACGGTGAGGCTACCCTCCCTCCAACAGTCTCCCCTCGGTCACTGCACTGGGTACCACTTTCCTTCTCTACCCACATATGCGTGCTGAGTCCTGACAGTCACTTCTCTGGGACCCTGGAGACCAGGCCCAGAGGACTTACTTTCAGGCCAGAGTCAGATTACTGGAGCCCATTGTTAGAGCCCCATGCAATTTATAAGACTTGGAAATGCACCAGAGCCCAGGTGGAAAGCCTTAATGCTCATATTCTTTAAAGTGAATATAAAAACTGCAGGAGTTTCCCTTTCAAACACATTCATAATGAATCTTTGATCACAAGTGCAGGGTTCCTGGGCTTTTGATACTCACCTCAAATTTCTCTACAAGTTGAACCACAAGATTTTATTTGCAGGTGGTAAAATGTGACGGAGCAATAGGTAAGCCTCCTATGAATTGTCTCTTGCTTTCCCACCGAGAGAAGTAATGGCTCATGACAGTGAGTTTGGCTTTTTGTCTCTTCCTAGCAGAACAGTTGTTTCTCAGTAATTCTGTAGGGTTGACTGAATACCCCATCTTCCAGTAAGTAAACAAATTTGACTTCACCCTGGCATAGTCTGAGAATTACTAAGTTTAATAAATGTAGTTACACTAGCCTAACTATTGAGTAAATTCCAGGATTGTTGTTTAAAATCTTTTATCCAGTGAGAACAATGCAGCAGGTAGAGTTATCTCTATAGCAAAGGATGTTGTTTTAAAAATTTTATTGAAGTATAGTTGATATATAATGTGTTAATTTTTGCTGTAGAAAAGTGGCTCAGTTATACTTACAGAGATATATATGTGTGTGTGTGTGTACATATATATATATTCTTTTCCATTGTGGTTTATCACAGGACATTGAATATATTTCCCTGTGCTATATAGCAGAAATTTGTTGTTTATCCTACCTCTGTATAATAGTTTGCATCTGCTAATCCCAAACTCCCAGTCCTTCCCTCCCCCACCCCCTCCCTTCCTTGGCAACCACAAGTCTGTTCTGTATGACAGATATTGCATTTTTTGATTGACAGGTAGGGATGAAGACAGTCCTCAGTTGAATTTGGACATAACTGAACTGTGTGTGTTAGAGAGGATGTTTTGCCTCAGGTGTCTGGACTTAGCTGCCTGCCCACCTTGGCTCCCTAGACCTCTGCATCTCCTCTTTCCCTTCTACCTGGGCAACCACACCCCATAAATGTAATTTATAGCCTTCCAACCCACTTTCCTTAGTTGTGTGGACTTTTTCTCACATATGTATACATATCAAGGAAAATACATATCTTGTGGTTCTGTGTTTTAGAAATTCACAAACATGATATTGTTCCACAAATCCTTTCTTTCTTTTCCCCTTCGGTACATGTTTTTGAGATCTGCCAGTGGTGCCTCTGCCTGATGATGTGTTACTTAGGTGGGCCATCTGGGGCTCACTGGATACACAGTCTACACATCACTTCCTGAGCTCTTTTGTGAAGGATTAAAAACCTGAAGTCGCTGCAAACCTTATTCTTGTTTCCCCCTGCGCCTGGTACACTCTCTCTTGGGCATATCCCAAGAGTGGACTTTTTGATCGCAGAATGTATATACATTTAATGTCACTGTGGGGTTGCTTCCAGAATGACTAGGGTTATCGACATGCACAGTGGCAGAGGACGAAGGGCCCTCATCGGCCTGTTCTGTCTAATTATGCTAATATGAGGGGGGTGGGGAGTGAAGAGATGTCTTATTGTTTGCCATGCAATTCTTTGATTGTACTTTAACAGGTTTCTTCGTAAATTTTATATTCCTATCTTTCCCCCATATTTCCCCTTTAATTTTCTTAATGGCCTTCCTTGAGTTTTCTCCAGTCATAGAATGTCCATATGTACTCTCCCACGTCTTCACCTCTCAGATAATTTTGTCTGTGACCTTCTTCATCAAATGAAAGTCTTTTTTTTCTGGGAATATAGCTAAATCCATTAATTTTCCCCTTTATGGTTTATAGTTCTAAAAGATTTCTCACCTACCAATCACAGGTATACTGCATCTTCCTTTGGTATTTTCTCCCTATTAGCTTCATGGTTTTATCTTTCACCTTTACCTTTCAAGCCCAACTGAAGTTACTTTAGAAGATGATGTGAGAGAAGGGCACGACGTTTAAAAAATCGCCATGTAGTGAGTCCGTTTTCCCATCACTATTTAGCGAAGAATTCATCTTTTCTCCGTGGTGCTGATGCTCCTTCTAACACACACTAAGTTCTCTGTGTCATGGGTCTATTTCTGGACTCTCAGTTCTGTTCTGTTGGTTTGACACTCCCTTCCTTGTGCATGTTCCATACTGCTTTAGTCATCACGCTTTAAACTATCCTAATATCTGGTGGCGTGAGTCCTTCCTCTTGAGACTCCTTTTCATAAGTTGTCTTAGCTATTCTCAGACCTTTGTTCTTTGTTCTGAGTTTAGATTCAGTTTACCAAGTCACCAAAAATACATGCTGTGGTTTTGAGAGGACTTGCGCTGAATTTGCAGATTAATTTGAGGAGAGCTGCCATTTTTTAGTAGTAAATCATCACCTCCATGAACGTGGCATGTCTCCACTTATTTAGTTTTAAGATACCTTTTGTTAGAATTTTAAAATTCTCTCCAGAAAGTTCTTCTGTTTCCTTTATTAGGTTACTTCCTTGGGTGACCGGTTTTAGTGCCTGTTTTAAGTGATATGTTATTTTTGATTACTTTTTCTCAATAGCTATTGCTGCAGGGAGAGGAAAGTAGTGTGATTTTGATTCTGGAAATTTTTCTGACTGTCGTAGTTTTATTGGACCAACGGCCATGCCATTGCAAACACGGACTGTTTCTCTTCGTCTTCCAAATCCCAGACCTCACAGAGTACTGCTGCGCTGACCAGGGCATCTTTGAGCATTGGCCAGGAGAGGACGCCCTTGTTCAGTGTCCAACCTGAAACGGAATGGCCTCTAAGTTTTCATGCGGGCTTTTGTGGTGGCTCAGACAGTAAAGAATCTGCCTGCAATGCAGAAGACCCAGGTTTAATCCCTGGGTTGGGAATACCCTCTGGAGAAGGGAACGGCTTCCCACTCCAGTGTTCTTGCCTGGAGAATTTCATGGACAGAGGAGCCTGGTGGACTACAGTCCGTGGGGTCGCAAAGAGTCAGGCAAGACTGAGTGACTTTCACTTTCTCTCTTAAGGATGATGGAAGCTTCCCTAGATGTTCTAATCAGCCTAAAGCACTTCATTCATTCATTCATTCATTCATTCTTCACTCAACAAATGTGCACTGAAGGTCCACTAATCCAGACACTGATTTTGGCACCTGGTGTATATCCATGACCAGTGGGAAGGATAATCTCTGCTCCCATTAACGTATATATTAATTACCCAATTACTTTTATCATGTATAGGTATTGAACTTTATCAAATGTTTCTTCAACAGCTTTTGCGATAATGCCATGATTTGTTTCCCCTAAAGTCCATTTGTCTGGGGAATTAGGTAGATTTTTCTGATGTTTCATCCTGGCATAAACTCTGCTTGGTCTATGACATAGTAAATCATGGATTTGGATTTGGAGTCTGAATATTTCCTTTAGAATTTTTTCAGGTGCCATAAGAGAAATCTGTCTTCATCATCTTTGCTTCCTTTGGTTGTGTGTTCATCAAGGGAATGTCAAGATTATGGCGTTATACTCACCTCTTACAATGATCCAGGTTTACTCCAAATCAGAGAAGCCTCCTCCCCCCACCATTTTATCTCATAGAGAATCCTTTGTATAACTGCTACTTCTTTACCCTGATTTATTCTTACCCTTAAGTACTTATCACAAACAAGCGCTCTTTTATTTGCTAATTTATTATTTAGCTCCCCCAACCAGACAATAGGGCTTCTCTAATGACTCAGCAGTAAAGAATCTGCCTGCCACTGCAGCAGACGTGGGTTCAGTCCCTGGGTTGGGAAGAGCCCCTGGAGAAGGAAATGGCAACCCACTCCAGTATTCTTGCCTTGGAAATCCCATGAGCAGAGGAGCCTGGCTTAACCAGACAATAGGGCTTCTCTAATGACTCAGCAGTAAAGAATCTGCCTGCCACTGCAGCAGACGTGGGTTCAGTCCCTGGGTTGAGAAGAGCCCCTGGAGAAGGAAATGGCAACCCACTCCAGTATTCTTGCCTTGGAAATCCCATGAGCAGAGGAGCCTGGCTGGCTACAGTTCCCAGGGTCACAAAATAGTTGGACACGACTTGAGACTAAATAACAACAACAACTAGACTATAATCCCCATGAGGGTAGCAATCTTGTTCAGTGTAGTTATTTCCCACCATGTAGAATAGGGCCTGGCACATAAATGGTGTTCAGTAATCATTGGATAACTGAATACATAAATCAACCTCAGACTTTTGCAGGTTAGGAACTAACTGAGGACCCAAGAAGGCAACTGGGTTCGCAAATAAGTTTTCTACACAGACTCAGTCCAGAGTTCTTTCCGTCTGCATTGACTTCCTATGAAATTTGTTGTAGTTATCTCTAAGTAAATAGGAGAGAAAATATCTAAGCAATTCTATGAGAATATACATATTTTGGTTGAAATTTTTAGTTTTTTTTTTTAAAATTAAAATTAAGCTAAATTATATCCTCTTGTAGGTCACAGACGATTAGTATTTTTTTTTTTGGTCACTCAGTCCTTATAGACAAAAGGATGATTTATGAAAAGATATGTACTACTAATATATTATACATTCACAAGACAGTATAGAGATAATGTAGAAGGTAAGAAGGAGATGAAGTTAGACCAGATGTCTGAGCAAGCCCCGAACACCCCGCACTGTGTTGTCTCTACAACTTTAATTTTGGAGCAGAAATTTGCAGTATGGTTGGGAAAATGTGTGAATCACACCTACTAATAACTGTTCTTTTGGGGGGCTTTTCATTGGATCTGATTATCTAGCTTAATTGATCCTATGGAGGACAGCTTTAGCTGAAAGGGAAAATGGAAATGAAAGACTTAA